ACTACATAGTTATTAGAATACTAGTGGCCCGGCTGATTGCACAAAGATTCACGCAATAGGCCTTCCTCCCCCTGGCTGCTGGCACCAGTTTTCCTCTGGCACCTGGGACCCGGGCCTTTGGTCCGGCCTCAGCAGCGAGGCTTGGCTTCTCCGCTCTGGCTGCTCCCAGCCCCTCCTTTTTTTCCAGCTCCTCCTTGAGCAGAAGCCAGGACTGGCTGGAAGCCTGGGTAGCCCCCAGTGACCCAGGCCCCCATCCCCTCCTTGAGTGGAGCCCAGGGCAGGCTGGAAGCTTGGCTTCCTCCATCGCAGGGAGCAACCCAAGCCTCCTGCTTGCTCCAGCTCCATGGCCACCGCCCATTTTCAGTCATCTTCAGTCTTCGTTCTGCGCCTGTGTATGCAAATTAACCGCCATCTTTGTTGGGTTAATTTGCATACACATCCTGATTGGCTTGTGGGCGTAGCAGAGTGACACCAATTTGCATGTTTCTCTTTTATTAGTGTAGATTACTGACTGTATTCCTTATGCTGTATTCTACATCCCTGTGAATGCTTTGTAATTTCCAATTTGTACTTCTTAATCCCTTCACCTTTTCAACCATCTCTTCAACCTCCTTCCCATCTGGCCACCATCAATTTGTTTTTCCCACCTATGAGTTTGTTTCTGTTTTGTTTATTTGTTTATTTGAGGTTTTAAATTCCACATATAAATTAAATTATATGTGAAGTTTTTTTGTGTTTTTTTTTAAAGCATAGTTGCTTGGTTCACAGCTCTAGATATTCTGAGTTAATTGGTCTTCTATGTGGCCCAGGAATCAGCATTTTAAGACCCCCCCCCCCCAGCTTTAAAAACCACATTCCTTTACTATTCTTTTAGGAAGTATAAATAGGTGTGGCTTGGTTGGTTGGAGCATCATCCCATGCATTGAAGAATGGCAGGTTCAATTTCCAGTCAGGACACAGACCCAGGTTACAGCTTCGATCCCCAATTTGGACCTGTACTGGAGGCAACCTGGTGATGACTCTCGCTCTCTCTTTCTTTCTCCCTCTCTCTCCCTTCCTCTCTCTAAAATCAGTTTTAAAAAAGTATATCCTTGGGTGAGGAAAACATTTTTTTTTAAAGTATAAATAAACTTCAGCAGCTAAGATGCTTAAAATCACAAGGAGTCAGAGAAGTACAAAACTTTTAAAGGATGAAGAATCTTTATATTATTAGACTGACAAATATTAGAAAGTTGGATAATGTTAAGCATTTGTGTGGATGTGGGACACAGTAACTCTTATATACTGCCGGTGGGTGGGTAGACTGGTGAAGCCATTCTGTGGAGTAGCTTTGGCTAAGTAACTCCTTAGGCACACCCTATGGACCAGCAATTCCACTGCTGGAAACATAGCACCAGCATGTTCCTTTGTAGCCTTGTGTAGAGGAGGGAGAGATGAAGATAATTGGAGTGGGCTTCGCTGGGAGAGTACATTAGGTATAATTGGGAGAATGCACTCCAAAGAATATTATGCAGCATTAGCAGCAATAGTTTATTTATACAGGGCAGGGCAAAAGTAGGTTTACAGTTGTTTGTATGGAAAATAATACAATAATCCTATATAATAAAAGGTTAATATGCAAATTGACCAAACGGGGGAATAACAGGTTGCTATGACATGCACTGACCACCAGGGGGCAGATGCTCAATTCAGGAGCTGCCCCCTGGTGTCAGTACACTCCCACAGGGGGAGTGCTGCTCAGCCAGAAGCAGGGCTCATGGCTGGCCAGCACAGCAGCAGTGGCAGGAGGCACTCCTGCCTCCACAGCAGCGCTAAGGACCCCTCAGGGGATGTCCTAAACCAGCAGTTGAACATCCCCCGAGGGGTCCTGGACTTCGAGAGGGTGCAGGCCGGGCTGAGGGATCCCCTTCCCAGTGCACGACTGTCATGTACTGGGCCTCTAGTTAATAAATAATAATACAAGAATAAACTCTGTGTTTTGTAGACTCACAACTATAAACCTACTTTTGCTCCACCCTGTGTACATATTAAAATGGATGGACCTTAAAAACATAATGCTTAGTAAGTAAATGTGACACTGTCACTTACATAAAAATGCATACTCAAATAAGAACATTATATATTTTGGAAAAACACATTTGAATAAAAAAGTAGAAACTATTGAAAGTGGTTACCTACATATGAGAATAAAAGGAGGTAGGAATAAGAAAGAAGACATTTTATTTAAAAAGTGTAATATCAAGGAAGAATGAGACAGGATGGAAGCTTAAAAATGGGCAGTGACATAAAGGGAATGGGTGTGTGTGTATTTAATTTTTAAAATTTTTAATTTTTAACTATGGTACAGTTTGTATAACATAAAATTGACCATCTTAGCTATTTTAAGTGTAGTCTATTAGTGTTAGCTACATTTATACTGTCATTTTAACAATATTATATTCCCTATGCTGTTCATTACATCCCCATGACATTGTGTGTGTGATTTAATAGAATGAAGAAGTTTTATAAATGCGTAAATGAAATAGCAGACTTCAATGGGATTCTCACTTTCCCTCTTCTTTATTCACAGCATTGGTAATAATAACTGAGAGTTAAACCCAACTAGTATTCTTTTCTTTGTCCTTTCCCCAACCTTAATCAAGTTCTTTTGATTTTTTTCTCATTACTCAAGCAGTATATGCTCCTTAGAGACATAGCAGAAAATTACAAGCAAAAATTAACAGAAACATCCTTAAACCCACTCGCCCAGAAATGGTATCCTGATCCTTTTCTATGAATATGTTGCAGTTCAGTGAAAACTTTTAGAAACCTGAAATTTTTGTTCAGGGAACAATGTTTGATGCACTTCGTCTATGTCCTGAGACATTTTTAAAATCTTCATTTTTTAAAAATATATAGTTGTATTGATTTCAAAGAGGAAGAGAAAAATAGAAACATCAATGATGAGAGAGAATCATTGATCAACTGCCTCCTGCACACCCCTTACCAGACCCAGGCATGTGCCCTGACCGGGAATCAAACCATGACCTCCTGATTCATAGGTCGATGCTCAACCACTGAGCCACTCTGGCCAGGCTGTGCAGCTTCATTTTTAATGGCTGCATTGTTTTCCATTGTACAGATGTGCCATCATTAATGTAGCCAAGCCCTTCTGTTGGACAGAGGTTGTTCTAAATTTTGCTATTCCAAGTGCTCAGGGAACAAACATAAGCAACCTGCCTTTGAAGATAATTTCCTGCCCTTCAATTTGGTTCATTTTTAAAGGAGGTTAAAGGATTAGATTTGAAATTGTCTAATCATGTAAAAGTTTACTTGGCATCGCTTGGTCAGAGTGGCTCAGGTGGTCATGTGCACTGAAAGGTTGCTGGTTTGATTCCTGGTCAGGTCACATACCTGGATTGAGGGTTTGATCCCCAGTCAGGGAGTGTATGAAAGGCAACCAGTTGATGTTTCTCTCTCACATGCGTGTTTCTCTCTCTCCCTTCCTCTCTCTAAGCATGTCCTCAGGTGAGGATTAAAAACAAACAAACAAACAAAAAAACACATTTACTTGACATCATCAAAGTCAGCACCAGATCCCCTCATGAATGAGAATGAAGGAACAGAGTCATTCCTCACTGTTTGTAAACTGTCATTTTAGGTACTTGTCACAGTGCCGAAGTACAAGACAGGCTCCCTGGTTTCTGTACCTTAATCCATCAATGCATAAATCACATGGAGTGTTCAGGGAGCCAGTGTGGGATGTGTGTATTACTTCACCTGCGAGCCGCTGGTGAAATAGGAGGCACTGAGTTGTTAGAAAATTGCAAGGGAATCGCTGTTTATACTGGAGGACCAAGGTAGGTTCTTCAGCTTATATCGGGTGCCAGAGTAGGAACAGAGCAAGCCAACCCAAGGAAACGCAGTGTGTTTTTCTGAGTACTTACTCCCTCCCCCAACATGCCCCGAAACGAGTGGTTTTGAAGGAAATCTTTTAATCCTTCCAGTTGGTGGGTTTACCCATCAGAAACCCAGTGCCAGTGTGTATCCAGGCCTTTCCGTGAAGAACTGGCTGGAAGCTCTGCAGCCAGTTTGCCAGGGGCCCAAAGAGGCAGGGAAACACTAATATGTTCACAGCATTAGGGCAGCGTGTACTATGGGCAGGAGCAGAAGAAATGCGCTTCTGTCTCTTTAAACTAGCCCTCTGTTGTCAGGAGGCTTTGAATAGACCTAGCTGTTTCCAGAGCCTGTTCTGAAGCTCTTGAATGTGCCCCAGCCCGTGTGTGTATTAATATACAACCCGTTCCAAAGAATTAGTGCTGGGCAGCGCTGTGCTTGGCAGACAGGCAAGCCTCCGCCAGTTACAGTTGAGAGGGCAAGGAAAGGTTTACCAAAATCCCCCTCAGTGGCCCGGCTTAAAAATAGCAGCATAGGCCATAGCTTAGTGTTTTGACAGCTTATATCAGCAGTTTTCTCGGCTGATATATTGATTGCAGTTTGGACTTCAGTCCTGCTGATCTAATAAAACATCACTGTCATAACAGAGAAAGTAAAAGGATCCTTCGTGGCCCCAGCCACCTGGTGAAGTAGCTTTACTGTCATAAGTAAAATGAAGTCATCTTGGACAAGATGACCGATTATATATAGATATATATATATATATATTAGCCACACACATACATATATATATATATATCTGCTCAATATGGTGGTTTATTAACACTATTCTACATATTTTCACAAATATGCATTTGTTAAAAGGAATATAATGGTGCCTTACAAATACTACAACAAACTTGCTTTATTGTGCAGCAATGTCACAAACAGCCTTGCGTGTCCCTAAACTACAAGACTTGCTACACTCAGTTGCGGGGAGAGGAACACACACAGGAGTTAACTGAAGTATGGACTAAGCTCTGAGACTTGTACAAATCTCCTCATGGTCTTCAGTGGATATTCTGAATGTCTTACAGTCACTGGCCTTCAGTCCTACTTACCCTACGTATCCTTCCATTTCACAGCAATTGCTGACCATCCAGGAAGAGTTAAACAACAAAAAGTCAGAACTGGAACAAGCAAAGGAAGAGCAGTCGCACACACAGGCGTTACTCAAAGTCCTCCAGGAGCAAGTAAGTGACCACAGCAGCTCTGCCTGGGAGACGGGTTCAGACATGGACACGCGTCCCCTGGGCGCTGGGCGCGCAAGCGTGACGGAAGTGAACCTGCGGTGCAATTAGCCTGCCCCCTGCCCTGCCAGCCTCCCAGGGCTTGGCTCTGTGGAATTTATAATCTCATTCCCAGCACCTCTGTTGTCACTCGTAGGTTGCTATTTAGATTATCGTAGCCCACCAGCGATGTGGGAGAGTTTCTTCCAGAAGATAAATGAATTTTGGTAAAGTTTTAAAATATTGGCAGTGCAGATATATTTCCTAGCAAGCAGCTAGTTTCCTCTTAAGTCTAATAGTGAGGAAAATGAGTTTAGCATACCCCTGGCACGCCTGCAGACGTGTGCATAAGAAGGACTGATTCATGGCAACATTAAAGAAATACCTTCCCTGTGCACCAGGCCACCGATCTCACCACGGTGAGCAGCAAACCTTTTATATGAAGTTTGTAAATCTGATCGTTTCATCCTGGCTTCCTGTGATAGCAAAGTGTGGCCTGACAGTGATAAGTGGATTTGAAAGTGCAGTCTTACAGCCGGGTAAGATGGATGGCTCGGCACAGAGTGAGTCCAGCCCAGCATCCACACGGGAAGAGTGGGGGTGGGGGTCGGGGAAGAGCTGTTGGAATGCTTCCCTAGTCCGAGCCTGCACTTGCTGCTCGAGACGTAATGCATGTAACTGGGAGGGGCGCTCACACAGAGTAACTCCAACCCTAACCAAATTTCAGTCGTTTTAAATTTTTAACTTACAGTGATCTGTGAAAACATTATTTGTATAATATAAGTAACTGCAAAAGTGACATTTTTTAAATATGAAGTTGGAAGAGTGTGACCCTACTCAGCTGTGACTCAGTCACTTTACAAATGTTTGTTTTTACTGGTTTGAGGTCAAGAAAATATATTTTTAGTTACTTTCCCCTAAAAGTATAAGTGATTTGTGAGGGAAAAGTGAAGGTGTTGGACACTTTATAAGCTTCTATAGCTTTGGAGGAAGAGGCTTTGTAACACAAATCATTCTCTTTTATAATTAATACTAGAGGCCATATACACGAAATTTGTGTAAGGGGCTCAGCCCCTGCCGCCTCGCTGGCCACCTCTGCCTCAGCCCCCACTACCGCAGCTTCGTCCAGAAGGACGGAAGGATGTCTGGTCTAATTAGCATAGTATGTTTTTATTATTATAGATTATTATAGATATACTAGAGGCCCGGTGCACAAATTCATGCATGGGGGGTCCCTCAGCCCAGCCTGCACCCTCTCCAATCTGGGACTCCTCGGGGGTGTCCAACTGCTGATCCCTGGGATCAGGCCTAAACCGGCAGTCAGACATCTCTCTCACAATCTGGGATCGCTGGCTCCTAACTGCTCACCTGCCTACCTGCCTGATCACCCCTAACTGCCACCCCTGCCAGCCTGATCACCCCTAACCACCTCTGCCTGCCAGCCTGATTGCCCCCAACTGCTCCCCTCTGCTGGCCTGGTCACCCCTTACTGACCCCCTGCCAGCCTGGTCGCCCCCAACACCCACTGCTGACCTGGTCACCCCCAGCTGCCCCCTCCCGCCAGCCTGGTCGCCCACAGCTGCCCCCTCCTGCCAGCCTGGTCACCCCCAACTGCCCCCCCTGCCAGCCTGATCTCCCCTTACTGCACCCCCTGCCAGCCTGGTCCCCCCCCAACTGCCCTCCCCTGCCTGCCTGGTCACCCCCAACTGTCCCCCCTGCCAGCATGGTCGTCCCATGCAGCCTGCTGTTCAGTCATTTGATCATCCCTCACTAACCCCCCTGCTGGCCTTGTCGCCCCACGCAGCCTGCTGTTCGGTCATTACTGTTACTGTGACGGCATCCCAGACAATTTGCATACTCTTATTAGTATAGATTAAGTAACTTAGACTGAGGCTGAGTTTGTACAATTTTGGATAAGTTAGATGGAGCTGAAAAATACTGTTTACTAAATTCACATGGCCGACTGTCTCGGAGACCTGCAGTCATGGACCTTTCTGCCTTTGCAGTGTGAGACTCCCAGCCAGGTGGAGCTGATTTGGTTCAAACTTGCTCCCGATCAAACAGACAGCTCTCACCTTCGTGGTTTATACTCCTGTGCTTGCAAATGTGCAGTCCCTCCCTGAGTGACTCAAATCCTTTATGTGATTTGAAGTCTGAACCCCGGTTTAGCAGAGAGTATTGCTATATTCTTGTAGGGTTTGCATCGTTAAAGCACAGACACAGTCACTGGTGAGGCATCACACTTCACTCTCCATTACTTAAGAAATAGATGGGAATGTGGAGAAGATTCAGAGCCACTAACATCATTAGAAACCTAGGAAATACTACTGGAAAGAATGCATTTTTAAATCTGTTGTACTATTTAAATGGGGTGGCTCTTTTTAAGCAAAGGCACTGAGAATATTTAAATCTAAGCAGGCCCACAGCAGCCAAATGCATTGGGTGCTACCCCTACCACCAGCTGTTTTCTTGACAGCCCCTCCCCTGGTGCCCCTGTCACCCCTGCTGATGGTGGCATGCAGTGGGCATGTTCCTTTCATCTTCCAGCCACCCACCCCTCCCAGAGACATACACTTAAAATGCACCTGTACCTCCATGAGCATCGCCTTCCAAGACTTTCTTTGGACTTGTGTAGGGTAACTACATGCATGAACACCTTTTCAGTGCCTGCATAGATAAGGCCTAGATAAATGGCCTCACTGCTAGAGTTTTTGATTGTTTGGGTCTGGAGTCTTGCTTTTGCACACACACACACACACACACACACACACACACAGAGACGGACCCTTCCCAGAAGATTGGAATTTTGCTATTCAAAGTGACTGCCACTTGTTGGGAATCCTGAAAAGAAAGACTAGGTTGTGAGGGCACCTTACCATCAGCAGCCCCACCCCTCCAGGGAAGGCAGGCTCATTCCTTGAGTTCCCTGTTTGCTAAGATGCAGTGTCTCCAGGTCCCTCCAGGCCCCACTGGCTTGATACCTGGAGCTTGTTCAAAAGACCCAAGTCCCATGAGACGCGATGTTGGATCCCTCCATCTGGAGGAGGGAGCAGTGAGGAGAACAGGGAGTCTTGTTAGCAAGACTCATACACCAAGGAGCAGGCCAGCGAGGGCTTCAGCTGTCGGGAGAGGGGAACCTGCAGGAGGGAGGCATGACCTGTGGTCGTCAGTCCTGGCAGAGGAGAGTAGGGGAGCAGCAATGCTGGTGAACAGGGAGAGATGAGAGCAAATGCGTAGTGGACGAAGCTAGGGCAGAGATAATGAGAACACGGAGGAGGAAGATGGAATTGACTTAAAGGGGAGAAGGGCACATTTATGGCATTAAGCTTGCAAAGGTGAAGCACTTTAACAGCACAGTCCTGTACTTCGGCTGAAGATAACAAAACACTCTGAGCTAACTCCACTCTAACAGTGGCACAAGTTACAGCCCTAAGGTGGGATGAGCAAAGAGAGTTGACAAAGAGGAGGAAGGTGAGGAGCACCTACAATAAGAAAACTTAAGATAGGAAAATGTAGAGGGGTTTTTAAAGTCCTTTTGTGCCCCCTGATAATAGATGGCACTTGTATCACTGTGCGCCCTTTTCTTTTCATATATGTCACCCTTTGCCTATGCTCCCTTATACTTGTTATATGTACAAACATCAATGATGTGGCCCTGAAGCATCGTGGGCAGTTTTTCTCATAAATGGGAGAGATGTGGACATGAGCCATAACCAGATGCCCCACACTCACTGTCTTCCAGTCGCCATTGCTTTGGCAAAGCCCCTCTCTTGGCACAAAGAACATCTGTCTTTCTTGCTTAGAGTTTGAGATTGCCTTAAAAATATAATGAAGCTTTCATTTTAATGTATACAAGTAGCCATGAAAACCAGTGTTCGAATCAAGCACACGGACGGTATATATGCATTTATTTTCTTTCAAACTGTAAGCATTTATTTCTCACCCTGAATTCTTTATTTCAGGCATTAAAAATGGCACAGAAGGTGCTGCTTCGAAGCATAATAAGCCAGGAAGAAATACTGGCAACAGCTGCAAGGCCTGCTCACCCTTTGCCCTTGCTCTCTGCCTCCATATGTCTGCTTTGAGTCAGGCTAGGCTAAAATGCCAATTAAAGGTTCCAGAACTCTGGTAACAGCTGATTTCTCATAATCCTCTGAGAGAGAGAGTCTAGGGAGTAGTGTGTTCAAATGTTCGCCGTCCAAAATAGCTTTTCTGCTAATGCCTCGGTGACCAAGGAGATGTCTTCCCAGTTCTTCCTTTACGAAAAGAAGCAAACCATCTTCTTTTAGGCCTCCAGACACCATGTCAGCCATTGAAACATGTTCACAGAGGACATGACAGTAGCTCCGTGGCCTATTCAACCAACCATCCTTCACCAGTCACCGTTCCTATCACATCATTTGGCTGGTGGCAGCTTGCAAGCACTGCAGGGCTTAAATTAATAGCAATGCAACTGGAAAATGAAATCATTTTTTATTCTTAAGAACCAATTTTTGTACATTTTATGCCTATGGAATTGCTTTCAAATCTTGTTGTTTAAAAAATAATGAACAAGATCCATTTATTTTTGCCAGCCATCAAGTTTCATAAAATATTGGTCTCAAACTGGTTTCAGGAAGACTCATTAGATTATGGGCCCGTCTGTGTTTTTCCTCCTTGAAGTTTTATAAAGTGCAACCTCAGACGAACCAGAGTTAATAAGATGATATACACTTAATAGATATGCTTGCTTATTCACTTGGTGTGTGTTTTTTTTAATTTGCAGTTAAAAGGTACCAAGGAATTGGTGGAGACCAATGGCCACAGCCATGAGGATACAAATGTAGGTACCCTAAACCTGGCATTTGTTCTTCTTTCTTAATTGATGTTGGTTGAATGCTCATGGGAATGTGGCATTGTATCTATAACACAAAGGAAATCAGAACTCCTGCCTCTCCGTGGCTTGTTAAGATCACTGTGCTTGCTTTGACAATCAAATATAGTAGATAGGCACTGCTATTGGTAGCTCAGGTGACACGATGCCAACGTAGACGTACCTGACCTAATCTCTACCATAAAAATTATAATCTCAATGAATTTGTTTGAGCCCTTTACATTTCCAAAGCTATAAACTAATGATGTGTTGGGAGGCCAGATGGAATGAGACCCAACAGGTTAAGAAGTAAGACATTGCATGTATATTTATTTAATTTGCCTGTCAATGCAGATGGTAATGAAATGATCGCTATGTTGAGGAGGTATCAGGGCAAACCGTTTCTCCCATAAAAGCCCGGAAAAGTGTACCCCTCTTCTGTGTCAGACCCACAACAGTAGCACGATGCCTCTGTCTTCTTGATACTGGCATCATGGTACACGGCCCCAGTTAGCAGCCTGACTGCCTCTCTTAGTGTTCCTTAAATTGCCCAAATTATCAAGTGCTCTCTTTGCCTTGGAAGTTCTTCAGTCTCAGGTGCAATATTATACCATTGTCTCTCCATATGTTTGATAGTCTTGATTTTTTTGTCTTTTTAAAAATATCTCTGATATCTGTATGTATCTGATTACCCTCATCACAGGAAATGCTTACTAAGCAGTTCTTTTCACATACCACAGAATCAGACATGGTAATCAATGCTTGATTAACTAGAGCTAGGAGAAATGATTCATTTCATGTTTACTCTTGTTTTAATTTTATACAGCAGAGAGCCTGACATTCAGAGTACCAGAAATTCCCTCTTATTAATTACTGTTCCCACCAAACAGATAGTTAACATATGATGCTTATTGAGACCTTACTGTGTACATGGAGCTCTGCTAGGTACTGGGGAGGGAGTAGTTTACAAAAAATTGTTAGTCCCTGGCTGGTGTGCTCAGTTGTTAGAGAGTTGCCTTGCACATCAAAGGTCTTTGGGTTCAATTCCCGGTCAAGGGCATATACCTGGGTTGCAGGTTAGATCGCAGCCCCAGTCAGGGCACATGGAAGAGGCAACCAATCAATGTGTCTCTCTCACATCAATATCTATCTATCTCTCTATCTCTATCTCTATCTCTATCTCTATCTATCTCTATCTCTATCTCTCTCCCCTCCTTCCCTCCCTCTCTTCCACACTCTCTCTCTCTATATATATATTCACACACACACACACACACACACACACACACACACACACTCAGGTGAGGATTAAACATTTTTTTAAACAAAAAGAATTGTAAGGCTTGCTGTCTGCCCTCAAAGAACTTGTGAAGCAGTTGAGGAGTTAAGGAACACATGGGCAATATATAAGATGGGGTAAGTGTACAGGAAGGTGAGGTCACTATGACATGATGTAGTTTGAAATTCGGACTTTGCTGCTTGATACCTGTGTCAATTTGACAAGTTACTTAAATCTCTGAGCTTCCTTTTCCGCATTTGTAAAATGAATGACAAAACCTCAAAAACGTATCATGATGTTGTAATGAGCTGAAGAACATGAAAACCTTAAGGTGTTATTACTGAGGTTCTTTGTGCTGGATAATGAAGAATGCTTCCAGGATCTATGGCATTTGTGTTTGACTTTGAAGAATGGATAGAACTGAAAAAATAGAAAGCTTGAGGAGGAAGCCATTCGTTCGGAGATCCCCATAGGAGACACTGTGCCCTAAGTAGAGATGTCTTCCCACCTCAGTGTTTCATTACCCCCATTCTTACCCTAAAAATCTCCTTCAGGATCCTGGCTTCAGGGACACACTGCTGCCATATTCTCAAGCCCAGCTTTGGTATGCACTCCCCCGAGCCAGGCTCTCTGTGCATTCCAAGGAAGCTGCTGGGTAATCCAATGGGCCAGAGAAAGTGGCAGTCTGCCGAGAACGGTCTGTAAAATGGAGGTAATATTGCCTGTCTTTCCTTCCTTGAGGCTTAGTGTGAGAAGCAAAGGAGCTAACGGATGTGGAAGCACCTGGTCATTGTGAGGTTCTACCTGAGTAGGATGTTGTTACCACTATAATCTCATCTGCTGATTGAATTAAATTAGATGAGGCTCTGTTTTGAGGAATGGTGAAAGGCATTTATTATTAAACTAGAGGCCCGGTGCACAAAAATTTGTGCACTCGGGGCGAGGGGTCCCTCAGCCCGGCCTGTGCCCTCTTGCAGTCTGGGACCCCTCGGGGGAACCACTTGCTGGCTTAGGCCTGCTCCCCAGGGGATTGAGCCTAAGATGGCAATCAGACATCACTCTGGCAGCCCGGCAGCCCTCAGGGGATGCCCACTTGCCAGCAGGGAGCAGACCTTAGCACTGCTGAGGAGGCAGGAGGGGCTCCCACCACCACTGCTGTACTGGTAGCCATCAGCCTGGCTTGTGGCTGAGCAGAGCTCCCCCCTGTGAGAGCGCATTGACCACCAGGGGGCAGCTCCTGCATTGAGCGTCTGCCCCCTGGTGGTCAGTGTGTGTCATAGTGAACAGTCATTCCCAGTCTTTCTGCTGTTAGGGTCAGTTTGCATATACCCTTTTACTATATAGGATAGAGGCCTGGTGCATGGGTGGGGGCCGGCTGGTTTGCCCTGAAGGGTGTCCCAGATCAGGGTGGGGGTCCCGCTTGGGTGCCTGGCCAGCCTGGATGACGGGCTGATGGCTGTTTGCAGCTGGTCACACCCCCTTCAGGGTGGAGGTCCCCACTGGGGTGCCGGGCCAGTCTGGGTGAGGGCCTGAGGGCTGTTTTCAGGCTGGCAGGCAACTGAAGCTCCCAGCCTCTCCTTTTTTACTTTTTTTTTTATTCTGGGATTTATTTACCTTCTATAGCTGTCACTGAAGCTGAGTGCTGGCTCCAGCTCTGAGGCCCGGCTCCAGCTCTGAGGCGTGGCTGGCTGAAAGCAGGTATCTGGGTTTGTTTAGCTTCTATAATTGAAACATTGTTGCCATGACTGCTGCTCTAAGCTCTGAGGCCGAAGCTGGCTGAAAGCAGGTATCTGGAGCTTGTTTAGCTTCTATAATTGCAACATTGTTGCATCCGGAGCTCAGAGCCGGGCGGAGGCAGGCAGGAAACCTGGCTTCCTCCATCACTGGAGCAAGCAAGCCTCCTGCTCACTTCAGCTACGTGGCTGCCAGCCGCCATCTTTGTTGGCAGTTAATTTGCGTATCCTGCTGATTAGCCAATGAGAAGCGTAGCAGAGGTATGGTTAATTACCATGTTTGTCTATTATTAGATAGGACTAGAGGCCTGGTGCATGAATCCCTAGGCCTGGCCTGTGGGGATCTGGCCAAAAACTGGCTTTCTGATATCCCCCAAGGGGTCCTGGATTGTGAGAGGGCGGTTCTTGGGTGACCCACCCCCGAATCGGGCTCCCTTCTCTCTGGTTCCGGTGTGTCACCCAAGAACCACAGCTGCCAAGTAGCTGCAGCTGCCAAGTCACTGCAGCTCGGCAGCTGCTGCGTTGAGCATCTGCCCCCTGGTGGTCATTATGCATCATAGCTACCGGTTGGACGGTCACTTAGGCTTTTATATACATAGATGGGAAAAGTTATAGGAGATCATCTTTGAGGGCTTTGGCCTTTTTAAAGGAACATTTTTAGATTTTAAAAATAGCTCTTTTGGGTCCATGATGTGGGCTTTGTAACCAACCCAAAGACCTGACTGCTGAGAGATGGGGTTCAGGTCTGGTAGGAGGGAGGAGCAGCACCTTGACCAACAGCAGGTGAGATACTTATGGAGCCGCAGAACCAGCAGCACCTGCCAGTCTCTGCTGCAGAGGCCCGGGCTACATTTACAACCTGTTTTCTCAGGGGTTCCCAGTAGGTGAATTGTTCATGTGTCCTCTTTCTTGTCTGTAATGTTGTCTCCTTTACACAGTTTCCCTAGCACCTCCTCTAGGGTTATGTGAAAGTAAAGAAACAAAAATCACTTATTTGGGCCACACATTGGGGATGCTAGCAAAATATTGTGTGAGGATATTTTTAAATGTCTGAAATGAAGTCTTGGTGTCATCTGAAGTTTCCACCAGCCCTGTGGTGATCGAATGAGACAAGGCTTTCAAACCAGACTGAGAGGAGAGGGTTTGAATCTATTTTGATCACTAAACAGCCTTATGACCATGGCAAGTTATTTGATCTTTTTTGAACTTCACCTTCCTCATCCTTAAGTGTGCTAAATGAATGCACATAGATAAACACCTGGCCCAGGGTATGTACTCAACGGTATTTAATATACTAGTAGTAGGCAGTTCTTTGACAAGATACATTTTAATGCAGATCTTAAGGCTTAAAGCCTCTGGCCCAGAAGTTATTGACTGAGACAAATAGATGTTTTTTGTGTGCATAATTATTCACATATGAGGGTAGGGATTCACTATATTATCATTTATTAATAATAATTATACAGTAGATTGGTGCCAGTATAGCTGGGTATTCTTGTGAGAGTTGACAATTGGTTTTTAAAAACTATACTATTGTACAAGTAGAAAGGAAAACTTTGTATGAAACTTAAAACATTACAGAAAAGAATACAGAGATAAAGAAAAGTAACTTAGTTTCTCATTACTCAAAGATAACCACTATGAATATTTTATTTTAGTTCATTTTTGCCATGTGCATGTATATGACCAGAGGGAAAAGCCATAAATAAATGAATAAATAAATATTACCATTGTCTTCAAGTTTGTACCTTTTTGATTTCTCATTATATCATAAGTTTTTTCCTTGTCACCAAATGTTCCTCGAAGACATGATTCTTAATAGCTGGATAATGTAGATATGAAATAATAGAACTACGCACCTATGTGTTAGGCATTTAACTTCCCATTTTTTTAACTATTATAAACAATGCTGTAATTAACATGCCCATAAATCTCAGTCTGCATCTCTCACATTTGTT